GTTGCTCATAGTCATAATCATCGGGGGATGTATCTTTGTGCCACTCGGTGTTCCAGTAACAATCGTCCTCTGTATACAAAACAAACAACGGTCGTCTGTAGCAGTTGGAACACCATCGCTCTGAATTCCATATAACGTCTGTCATGAAATCGGTGTCTTCGATCATTTGATGTCCAGTGACTTTTACCCACGTATTCTGCAACCACTTGTACCGATGTTGTTGTTTCCCCACTCCCACAATCGCAACGCGCATCGAATCCACAAGCGAGACAAATGTTTCAGATCCGCGAAACTCGTTCTAAACTCGATGTACGCGATTTCGATGTGATAAACTGTCTCAACGTATCTTGGAAGCCAATCGTATTCTCTGATCGCGAACGCGGATAGTTGCAAGATTTTAAAGTCCTCTTNGTTGAAATTGTTTTCCTCTTCTCATATTTGTTCCTCAGGTAGATCGTGCACCGATAATCAAAGCCAAGGAAAATCGCGATCGTAGCGATAGAGCCGTACATCAAACCAGATCTCTTGTATTGCGTCCTTGCACACTTTAGGAATTTCAAGATTGTGTATTTTAATGTACTCGTCTACGTGTTTTGCTACAGTTTTCGCAGCTAGGAACTGAAGCAATTTCGGTTGTCTGATCTGATTCATTGTTGATTTTCCATCTTGACTTTCGCAATACACGCGCGACAATATTCCTTCAGCGGAGCAGGTCCTTCAATGTGATCGTAATCTCCTGGTTGATTGTAATGCTCGAGACATCTACGATATAACTGCACCTCAAGATCTTCCTTCAAATGCTCAGGCAGTCGATCCCACAAAAGCTCCACGTGATTATCAAACACTTCTAAAAGAATCCTCTTTGGAATGTTTTTCAACTCTTTGACCGATAGGTTTAAAATGCGCGTCGTGTTTGATCCATTATACATATTCAACAACAACTTGTTATCTATACAACTTGCGATCAAAATGATTTGTGACTCGCTCCCGACCTCGAGGCGTCTTTTTATTTCACTCCTTATCTTTCCTCAAAATCTTTAGGTTTGAAATTGCGTTTCAAAAACACCACATCCAGTACGCAACGGTTTTGCGTTATCATGGGAAGTGCGTCATCAAACCGGAAGCGGCTGATCGCTTAGGGCGATAAGAACAGGCTAACTTCCGGGAAATTGTGGTTTTTCTCGGAATTATTTGTTTTCCGGGAAATTGCGGTTTTTCTCAAAATTATTTGTTTTCCGGGAAATTGCGGTATTTCTGGGAATTTCTTATTTATTTGCTGCGCAATTGCGAACTGCGCGCAATTTATTTTTTTTACGCGAACCGCTTCCGGGAAATTTGCGGTTTTTCTCGGAATTATTGTGTTTTACTGCGCAATTGCAATTTAAACAATGACGTCATTATTCCGAACGACTTTGAACACGTTTGAACCTGTTCGAGTTCTATTTTTAGCGATGACGTCATCAACATTCTTGCGGTTTTCTCAGAATTTCTTTATTTTACTGCGCAATTTAAAACTATAATTGAGAGGTGTTATTATTTTAACGATGACGTCATCAACCAATCGACCTTGAACACGTTCGAACACGTTACAACCAATGGCGTAACCACTATCTTAAATAAATACAACTCGCTCGAATATTGCACGCTCCATTTTTACGGCTCGCCGTTAATTGGCTAATTCCGGTGGAGCCGATAACAACCCTCCGCCGACACCACTTACACTCCTACGGTATTTTATCTGCAACACCTAAGTCTTGCTCTCATTATTACAAATGTTTCCATTAACTCCTCCTTCCCCTTCCTCTTGCGGTTTTTCACAGAAAAGCTTCCATTGAGTCCTCCGTCCCCCTTCACCTCTCTCCCGCGGTTACCTTCTCTCCACTCCCCGCGGTTATTCTCACCCCTTTTCCGTCGGTTACTTCCCGTCCCCTCACCCCTATCGGATCCCCTTGATCAGAACCCTTATATCTTAACTACTCCAATTGTATAAACAAATCACAGGTGCAGCTATGGGATCACCGATATCTTCAATCATAGCAAACATATTTATGGAACTTTGAATCCAAAGCCATCAAAAAAGCCTCATTAAAGCCGCAAACATGGTACCGGTACGTAGATGACATCTTTGTCATTTGGCAACATGGAGAGAGAGAACTCTATAACTTTTTAAACTTTCTCAATAAACAACACCCAATCATTATCTTTACATTAGAAACAGAACACCATGGTGTTGAGATTCGGGAAGATAAAGGACTTGGTGAAAAATAATATTCTTTTATAAAAAACTGGCGTAGTTTATTACTACCAAGTTTACAAATTATTGTACAATTACGCACTCTTATATTGACACTTAGCTGTTGCTTTACTGCGGTAAACTCTCCGGATGGACTCGGAGCCACACAGTATTCAACAGCTACTCACGATCTGCCTGTCGTTGCTCGCGATCGATCTTTTAAAGGAATCGATCGCGATCATTCAGCAGTTTANGTCGTTGCTCGCGATCGATCTTTTAAAGGAATCGATCGCGATCATTCAGCAGTTTAGCGACCTAATTACTACTGCACGCAGGTCGCTGACGTTGCGTGCTGTGTCTGTATCATACTTATCACTACGCTTAACAAACAGATTTCATTACAAAGAAATGCTGCTTGTTACCTTTTTGAAACAAAACCGGGTCGATTGAGCACTCATGCGTACTTACCGCAATTGCTCAATGGCCCGAACTAAATTAGAACTAAATTTCACAACAATGGTACACTTACATTTTTAGATGTTCTGGTCACAAGAAAACCAGACGGCTCTTTAGGCCACCAAATCTATAAAAAATTCACCCGCACCAATCAATATTTATACGCGGCATCACATAATCACCCTGCCCAAAAACAAGCTGTGATAAACTCGTTGATCTATAGAGCATTTACTATATGCAACAAAGAGAGACAGCATTCAAAACAAACTCAAAGAATTAAAAAACACTCTACAACAAAATGGTTACACACTGCAACAAATAAACAAAATAATTAAAAACCATCAAAATAAATCCTTTACCATCACTCAAAATAATACGTCAGAACCAGAACAAAACACAAACTTAAAGAAACGAACCACTTACCTCCCATAAAGGGTNTCACAGATAAGATTGGCAGAATCATGAACAAACACAACATACAAACGGTCTACACACCACCGAATAAAATAGGACAAATTCTTAACAATCCAAAAAACAAAAGACCGTCATTAGACACACCAGGGATGTACAAAATACTTTGTTCATGCGGTAAAGTATACATAGGTGAAACTAGTAAAATGATAAGCACACGACTAAAAGAACGTCAGTCAGCAGTACGTCTAAAACATTACTCAAAATCGGCATTAACAAAATACTATTTGGAAACTGGTCACAAAATTATGTTTGACCAAACCCAAGTACTAAACAAAACTAGGGCTTACTTCCCTAGAAAGTATATGGAATCTTTGGAGATATACAAACATTCAAACAATCTCAATAGAGACAATGGACATATAATAGTTTACTATGGCATTCCATTCTGCCATAATATATCCCCCTTTTTTTCTTACCATTCCATCCCTCCCATTCCCCTCCTCCACCACATTCCTTCTACTCCAATCTAGCTCTATAACAAAGGACACCTGACCAAGAGCATCTCAGTATCAGGCTGCTCTTTAAATCCTGATGAAGTGAGCTGTAATGTTCACGAAACGTCGGTATAAAAATGACACTAACGCGGTTCAAACCCGAAAAAACATCTTTCTATGTTAATACTCCACACCGCGAAAGCATCAATTATCAGATAAAGATATTGCCTCTTTGAGAAATATAAAATCTTCCAGAGTCGGGATAAATAATAACAATACAGAGACAGATACACATGTCTCTATTGAAGATTTATTGAAAAGAGTGCAAAATAAGCCGAATTTTAGTTAGGCTTGTAACGGTCCTACTTTTTGATTGAAAATTACTCTGTCTTTGTTTTAGGTACTTTGATACTAGCTGCGGAATAGCTCGTCAGGATCAGGGTGAAATAAAATAGAGTAACTCGGTTAGGTTTTAAAAACAGCAAAATAATAAGAATTTATTAAACAAAAAAAAGAAGAAAAATATTTACAATAAAGGAAAATATCAAGAGGCACGGTAGTGCCTTGCGCCAAGTTCACGCGCGCGCAGTGCGCCCGAACTGTGCGAGGCACACCGTACCTCTATATACGCGAAAAT